GTTTTAGTAAAGGCGCTCATGGGCGCCGACTCCATGGGTGCTTCAGGGCTGGAGGACCCCCGGGGGCACCCACCAGCAGCCCCCCATCAATTCGCCCCCAGCACCTCCCCCTCCCTCCCTGCACCTCCTGCCTGCTGCAATCAGCTGTTTCGCTGCATTCAGAAGGCGTGGGAGGAGCGAGGATGCGTCGCGCTCAGGGGAGGGGGCAGGAAAAGGCGGAGCGGAGCCTTGAGGGAAGGGGTGGAGTGGGGGCATGACCTGGGGTGAACTGGGGTTGAGCACCCCTTCCCCCCCCCTCCCGGGCACTTTGGAAAGTCGGCGCCTGTGAATACAGTAATTGCTATGGAGGAAGAATACCTTGAGAAGTAATCAGGAATACCGGAGAAAAAATAGGGGGTAAAGAGAAAACAAGGATGTAAAAAGAAGAGTCAGAAACAAAGAACAGATGGTAAACATAAATGAGATTAAAAGGAATAAGGGGGGGGAAATAAAAGACCAATGTAAAATGACGGAAAGGTGACTTAGACGTAAAAGGAGGAATAGACCAGCAATAAAGTCAGAATTAATAGTGCTGACCCTATTGCTAGTGACCTACTTTCTCCCCTAACTCCTTTCACAGTTTTATAGGATATTGGCGTTTGGGTTCAAACAAAATTTGTATTTTTGGTAAACTACCATTTATGCTTGCTTGCCTTTGATAATTACTCTACTCCAAAACAATTTGGAATATGATTGTGTTCCTATTTAAATAAAACTTTCAAAGGGAAAATCCCTTTTTGTCATTTCATCCGCAACTTCCTACATCAGAGCATAAGGAATTCTGGATAATAAGGGATTAAACTACAGAAATGAATAAGCAAATAGTATTTTATCTACTAACAGAAGTGGATGTAGCAGATGAGGAATGTTGAAGATGTGGGAGTAGCAAGAGATGATTGTTTGTTTGAAAAGTACCATCTTTCTCTCACTCACCACATAACTTCAAGCTCTGGAGGTCAGGGTTTAGACAGGTTAAAGTGAGAGAGCTTTTTGCTAGATATGTGTATTTCTGCATCGTGGACATAGCCTTTGAAGTAATCATATATATGGTACCAATTGATTGAACCTATCCCTGGAGATTTGTACTGGCAATGTAAGTTTGGCTTTTTTTGTGCAAGACTAGAAAATAATATTATGTGGTTTGGTAGTGATATTTAACTGACAAGATCTAATAGCGAGACAAGATGGGCAAGGTAGAATCTGTTATTGGACCAGCTTCTGTTGGTGAGAGATACAAACTTTCGAACTACACAGAGCTTTTCTTCAGGTCAAGTCAAGATCTAATAGTGACTGCTTGTCCTATATTCTACTGTATGTTGTCAAGTAGAAGTTTAAATGTCAATATCTATAGATGGTAAACTTCAATTTTTATTTTTATTAACAGGACAATCTTCAGGGTTACAAAACCCAGAATAAATTTTTAAATAAGGAGATTTTGGAACTTTCTGCTCTACGAAGAAATGCAGAAACAAGGGAGAGAGACTTGAATGCAAAGGTCAGATTAACCCAGTTTTGCTATACTTGAAGGGTTCCACTTCTGTTTGAAAATATCTAAAATAGATATTGGAGAAATGTTTAAACAGTGAAAATGATCCTTTCAACACTCAGAACTGCACAGCTCCTTAAATCCATTGTCTTTTTAAAAGTTTTATTTCTCAGTTTTCTTGAAGAGTGACACATGGTAATGTGGGCATGACTTATTCCCCACACACACGCTGTTTATATTCCATTGTGTTGCAATTTCATTTGTAAATCTGCCCAAGAAACTCCACTCTACAGTAGAAATGGAACTGTTTAGATATGTTTTGTATGGCGACTCTCTGATGAATGCCACTGTGCTTGTTACAATCTATTTAATCTTGCTGCATGAATGATTTCTCAGAGTTTTGTATGACTTGACATTACCAGTGAATTAAAAACTGCAGTCTTAATTTATGAGCACAGAATATTTCATGCAACATTAAGATTGCAACATTTTGCTTTTTCAGGACACACAAGTCAGGAAATGCAGTTAAGGATGAGACTGTATTGTCATGTACAACAGTACACTAAATATGTCACATTGAGCACAGTAAGCTTTAGTGAGTGGGATGAGTGAATAATTTTTTTTTGTAGCCTGTGTCAGTGTATGTAGATTTGGAGCACATTTGTGTACAGATGAGTAGGGTATTTGAATGAATGTGGTCAAGTTATTATTTGCTTGGGGCTAATTAGGTATGTTTATGTATGTGGATATACTGTTTGAGCAGGACATGTTCAGGCGTGGAATGCGTTTTTGTATGTTTCATATGTGAATTCCATGAAGTTGTAGCCAGGCCTGGATGATATAAGTATGTGTGGGGCTAGGTTTTTGGCATGGAGGTGCAGGATCATAATTTCTGGACTCTAGAGGAGTCTGTATGTGGAGAGTGAAAGCAAGGAATGTTGAAACATTTTATAATTTTTGAAGATATATAACCAATATCTATCAAACTTTGAGGACTACACGCACACACAATCTTACATTTTTAAAATGTCAGTTGCATTTAAATTGTAAGAGTATAAAAGATTGGTGCTACCACTCATATCACACACCAGTGGCTGAATGGATTTTGTTCAAAGTGCCCTCCTCCTCCCGCAACCCCCCCAAAAAATCACCTTTGTGATGATACTTGGCATATGACAACTCAGCCCAAAATAAGACACCCTCTCCCTCCCCGACTAGTAAGTTGTGACTGTAAAGATCCATTCCAGTCTGAGTATGCAGCATTTAATTATAGTATTTGCTATCATAAACAGTATAATAAAATAAAATACATTTCAGAATGTTTGTTCAAATGTTTGAGTCATTTTGTGCATTCTGGGCATGTAAAAATAGGAACGGAAAATGGACTATTTTCAGGTTATAGATTTGTATCCTTTTGATCTTTAGGCTGTGTGAATTTTGAACCAGATGTTTAGAAATACTTAGTGCGACATGTATTTGTGTTTCAAATTAGTACAGTAATTTGGCATGTTATTCTCTACAGTGTGCTAGCCTGGAAGCCAAACTTTGTCAGATAGAAAGTAAATACTTGATCTTGCTTCAAGAAATGAAGAATCCTGTTTGCTCTGAGGAACAGAGCCCTGCTCGTGATGTCATTACTCGTTTGCTTGAAGATGCTTTGAAAGTGGACAGCAGTGAGCATCCAGAACAAGCTTTCTTTAAACCTTTCCTTGTCAGGTAAACCTTAGGCTAATTTTGAGGGCATCCAGTCTGTATTTGGAGGAGGCATGGGCGGAGAATGGATTTCAGATATGAAACTTCATATATATTGTAAAGTCTTAAGTATCCTAAAAGTACTTTAGGAGAATGAATATACAATGTTTTCTCATCCTCCATTTCCCCTCTGAACAGTACACTTATATCCTAGGCTTCTTGACTGATGTGTATTGCTGGGCCAAAGATATTTGCATATGAAAATTTGATAGTGGTAATTTTTTTTTTTTAATTTCTAGTTTACTTTCCTTCATGAATAAATAGCATACTTATATCGGTGAAATCACATAACAGGCCTTGTAAGCACAATACTTTGTTTCAATTATATTAAATAATTTGGTATCAAATTAAATATCGGCAAAATTATCCAATACATTTAACTATTCCAGATATTAATGCAACATGGTTGACCCATAATTCTGTGGCTTAAACTCCTTGCAGTGACTTACATAACATTAATTCCAAATGTAGATACAGCCTTTGAATACAGAATGGTTCAAAAAGTAAAACATATTTTGTAATAAACTGAATAGGGAATTTTAACACTTTTATTAAAATAGTATGAAAGCTCTGGCATGGTTTTAAGGATATTGCTATATAAACTATTGCCAAAGTAACTTAAGAATGACTATTTGGAATTTCCTTAGAACATACCAGACTGCAAACTTTTTGTAGAAATCATATTCTTTTTTTTTTTCTTTACAGTGAACATGATATTTATGGGTTTCAGACAGTCCCAGAAGACGATGAGGAAGAGAAATTAGTAGCAAAGGTGCGAGCCTTAGATCTGAAATCCATTTCTCTCACTGAAAACCAGGAGATTTCCACAGGGGTAAAATGGGAAAACTATTTTGCAAGCACAATGAACAGGGAGATGATATGCTGTCCAGAACTGAAGACCCTTATCCGCTCTGGAATCCCGCATGAACATCGTTCCAAGATGTGGAAGTGGTGCATCAACCTCCACATTAAAAAATGCAAGGACAGCACTGATCCTGGATATTTCCAAACCCTGCTTCAGAATGCCCTTGAAAAACAGAATCCTGCATCCAAACAAATAGAGCTGGATCTCTTGCGAACTTTGCCAAACAACAAGCATTACTCTTCCCCCACTTCTGAAGGGATCCAGAAGCTAAGAAATGTCCTTCTGGCATTTTCATGGAGAAATCCTGATATAGGATATTGCCAAGGTCTCAATAGGTATTATATTTCAAATCTGATAAATAAAAGAGCTGTATAGTGAAACATTTAGTAGACTTGTACAGTAAGGATAGCACTGTGCCTGAGGAAGATGAATTTTTTTATGGTTGACTTCACTAGAGAGATTCCTCATCTTGCTGATTTGCTAATTTGGAAGCTGTTTCAAACCTTGGTAACAGTTTGGGAGTAAATGTATCAAATAGTTGAATTATTTAACAGGAAGAATTTGCAGGAAAAAAGGTCATTCAAAATAATGTTTAAAAGTGCCATTTTAAGACAGTGATCATAAAATTGATAAATAATTTCCTGAAAAATAAGGGGCTTAATTCTCCCTCCTATAATATGAGAAACAAGTTCATCTAAGGGCCATATTGTGGCGTACTTGTTCATCTTTCAAAGACATGCACTAGATTATAACAGGTTTTTTTCTATTCAGAGGAGTTGACAACTTGATCAAGTGCTTTAATTTGTTGGCTTTTTTTAATGAGGAGAAAAATCCATGCTTGGGCCATAAGCATAGACTGACAGAAATCTGTAAAATAGATTTTTGCAGAAGAGGTAGGATTGGAGGGAACTTGTACAATGAATGTGGTGTTTAATTGAGTTGAAGTTTTGTGTTGCTTTTATGTCTGTCTTTAGTTTAAGACATAAAAAAATGAAAGTTCTGGCTGATGGTTAAAAACGTTTGGCACTAGAAGGGCTACTCCTGGGGGAATTCTGCATCATTGCGCATGTGCAGAATTCATTGCTCCGACAGATTTCTTTGCTTACCCACTGAAAAATTACTTCTGACAGGGAAGCAAAGGGAAGCTGCAAGAGTGGTCATGCGCCCACTCCCTGGCAGTGCAGACAGGTCAGTTTGGGCACCCAAAGCAGCCAGTAGAGATGTAAATCACCGCCTGGGGGTGGGGACTAGCTAGTCGTGTGTGTGAGAGAGAGAGACACTCTGACCCTCTCACTCGCTATTGCAGCATGCTTGATGTGGAGGGGCAGGGCTTTGGGGTATTTCTGAAGAGGTAGTTGTAGGGCAGGCTCTGTTCCCTCTGGCAAAGGAGAATGTAGCAGCCTGCCTGCTTAGTTAATTGTTCCCATTGTTCTTAGCGAATTCCCCCAGGAGTATAAAATAGGTGTAAAAAATTTTATGACTCCTTTACGTTGCCAGAGTGGTGTAAAGGAGCCTTATTGTAAAGGACAGTGTGGCCTTATAAATGCTTATGGTTCTTTAGTGATTAGAATTGGTCTAAATTTTTGGACTGAAAAAATTTCCTATCAAAATGTGCTCCATGAACTGTTTGCTACTAACTTTTTTGGAGATGGTCAATAGCCAGTATAGATTGTCAGTTTGAGTCCCTGGCCCTCACTTGCTCTTCAGTTGCCTATGATGTAACACTGGGTGCATATATTTTTTGACTAATAATTAGATGTAAAGGGTCAATACTAGCTACATTACTATTAGATGGGGGGGGAAGAGGGTTTGATGATTTCCTCCAATGCCCCACGCTCCCATTCTCCATCCACTGTATTGTAGTTTAAATAAATTACCAAAATAATTGAAACTAGCTGGATTATATTGCATTATTTTGACAAAAAATATGCAGAATTTTGCAGAATTTTAAAATATTGGTCGCAAAATTTTTATTTATTTATTTATTTATTTATTTATGGCACAGAATTCCCCCAGGAGTAAAGGGCCACAGACCCTATCATTTGCCCTAGTGCATCTTATGCTAATAAATCCAGTCAGGAAATCCTGACCCTGGTTTTTCCATTCTAAAAAAACATTTCAAGAGTTTATAGCATTCCTAACTTAAGTACAGAAGAATATTCAGGATCCATAAAAGGCCTCTGTAAAAGAAGGGGTTGTCTGCACTTTTTCCCCCCATTGATATAGTTTTTCACTGATGTAATTACACTGGCTAACACCTGAGGAGTTTAGTAAGTTTACTGCATTGGTGTAAAGTGACTTGCCTGGTACAGCTTTGTCCTGGTTTGAAATCTATACCAGATGAAGCTGGTGAAGCTACATGTGTGCATAAAAGAAAAACAACAAAAAATAGTGTAGACAATCCCAAAAGGATTCCTCTCTGGGAGGAATTTGTGGCAAATTAATCTTGTGTTTTTTAATGTGTGCAAAATGTTTCCAAAATTTTCCCAGTTATTTTCACATAAGCCTCAGCTAGGGCAAGAACATTCTGTATTCACTATGTGTATACTGTATTCTGTATTCACAGTATTCACTATGCAACAGATACTTCTACTTGTTTTTACTAAGAGAATGTGACCCAGAAATAAAATTAAATCAGGAATTGGTGGTAAGGGAGACTGGCTCGGTGGGGCCGCGAGGTGGGGAGTGATATTCTCTTCTGTAACTTTCTTCCTGGTTTTCTTTTGTCTTCACCACCACCATTTTTAAAGTTGTCACTTCTCCTTGATTGTTTTGAGACACCTAATTGGGATATTGCTGTACTGGCAGTTAGTAAAGAGAAGAAAGAGAGAGGGCAAAAGGAGAGAGAGTGGGGAAATGCAATCCAATCTGGTTCATATGTAGATGAATCTAATAACACTGTGTGACACAGAAATTTTCATAAATTATATAATTATATAAAAATTATATAAAATCATATTTTTGTAATGAAATGAAATCCTCATAAATTAGAGAGAATTATGTATAGTTTGTTTTTTTTAAGATTTAAAAAACAAAGTTCCTAAATCAAGGCAGACGGGTTGCTATCTTGAAAGCCCAGAAATCTGTTGGTTTGGAATGCTTAAATAGTACAGAGATAGCTGCTGACGTAAGAACCTAGCAAAAAGTGGAGTTGGGGAATGAAGTGTGTTAGTCAGTTTTGCTTACAGTGGTAGATAAATGAAAGAAATAAATAGTTAAACAACTTTGCCACTGGACTTGTCCAAGAATTGGGAGCCTAAACAAGGTCTCTATCAGAGCACCTCACCCTCCCTGATTGAACTAACCTCGTTATCTCCATACTGATTTATACCTGCCTCTGGAGATTTCCATTACTTCCATCTGAAGAAGTGAGGTTCTTACCCACGAAAGCTTATGCTCCCAATACTTCTGTTAGTCTCAAAGGTGCCACAGGACCCTCTGTTGCTTTTTAAGGTCTATAGGATTTCACACAAAGGTGGAGGGCACAGGGAACAGAAGTGTTCCCTTTTGATTGCTTATCAGTCACTTGTGCTTAGAAAAACTTGGGTCCTGAAGGTAATTGTACTGTGCTCAAAAATGAACTATCCTTGGAGATCGCAAAAGGAATGGCCTATTCTGGATCAGAGCCATCATGCTCTTGGCCAACACCAGGTGATTAAGGAGACAATACAAGAAACCTCATGGCTGAAGTAAAATTTCAGACTGAGTGTGACCTAACTTAATAAAATAATTATAAAATGTTTTTGCTGTTTTTGAACGTTAATTCTCAGACTTCAGCAGATTCACAAAACTTAAGGAAAAGTTAATATCTATGCCCTCACTGTAGTTTCCTTCACCTTGCAAAGTCTGAGAAGCTGTCAAAGTTCTATGATGTCCTAAGCAGTTACTGTTTCCACATTTAGAAGTTTCAACAAGCAAGTGATGTTAGATTAAGGCAATCTGACTTGAAAAAGAAAAGTCAAGTCTGATATTATGTGCACTTAATGTAACTTTGGTTTTCATCGCTCCCCTTGACTGTGCAAACAGGAAGACCAGAAATGCAGCTAAATGTCCTTTGATCATGTTGTTATGGTTTTCATGCAACGGAAAAGTAAGACAGACACATTCGTATTTTTATTTTATTTTTCAAACTACACAGCCCAACCAATTACTTTTTCGGAAGCTGTGAATATGCCACACTTGCTGTTACATTCCTGAAAGCTCCTTCACTTAGAATGCTTTATAGTACAGCCCTAGGGGAATTTTTCCTCAAACAGTTCACTCCTTAATTGTGTTTTTTTTTTTTTCTGATTCAGTGGCCATCCCAGCTTCTTCACAAAAGGCAAAAATGAAATTCAGTTCTCTCTGTTACCAGAAAAGAGAGACGATTATCACTTTATACAACAAAATATAATCAATGTATTTTTTTCCATAGCTTTTGGCAAATAAACTTCTAAGGCTCCAAACCTACAAGATGCTCTATGTGGGCTGATCCCTGCAAGCGCATGGTGCTCCATTGACTTCAGTGGGGCTCTCTGCAGGCACAAAGGTTCTCCTGTGCCAAAGCAGCTTGCAGGAGTGGGCCTTAGTATATCACAAAATACCTTGAAAAGCTGCACAATCATTTCACTTTAGATGCTAGATACTTTTGGAAAGCTCACTAAATAACTTGGAAATCAAAGGAAAATATCCTGCTTCAATTTGAAATTTTTTAGCCTAATTTCTCAACTAAGACCTACAATGACTATAACTTGGAAGGGATTGGTGAGAAATATTGATTTTACCTTTTTTCTGTTAATTTATTTTGTGAGTTTGCTGCCAAACTATGTGTAATCATTGTCACAGTTTCCCCTATATAGTCAATTCATTTTTTCTGATTATTTATGTGAAACACACAGCAAAAAGGGGGAGAATTTTTTTAAGTAACTTGTGATCATACATCCATAAATATTGGCGTAGGGTCTTGGGCATGCACAGCCCTTAGAATTACTTTTCGCTCATTTTTAAAATTATGGTAAATTTCAAGTTGGCAGTGTTGTACATAAAACAATAGCTTTAAGAAATGTTAACTCCTTTAATTCTGTTACAGAAGGCTATTTAAATCATGCACAGGATTTCCTTTGTGTATAATGTGTAGGGAGGTCTTTATTTTCAACTCTGCCATTAAAGGAGGCCGTGCGGATTAGGAACCACAGCAATGGCCTTGGAACCAACAGATTCCCAATACTTTAATTTGGCCAAGCCACTGACAGAATGGCTTCCAGCAAATCCGTTTGCTTCCTTTTGCCTTAATTTGTCCACTTATTTAGCTGAATAGAAGTACTGACGCCCAATACATGCCTCCTGTTCGAGCTATCCTAGTAATTTTAAATGTATTTAGCAAATTGGTTAATGTAGCCTATTATCAGTCCACTATTCCTTGATGAACAAAAAGTAAGGTAGTCTTATTTTAAAACTTAGTTTTAATAGATTTGATTTGTGTTTTAGTGGGCTTGTTTTCAAAACTGTCTCTTTTTATTTTTAGATTGGTAGCAATTGCACTTCTCTACTTGGAACAGGAAGATGCTTTTTGGTGTCTGGTTACAATAGTGGAAGTTTTCATGCCTCGTGATTATTATACTAAAACTCTGCTAGGCTCTCAGGTATGCATTCTGCCAAAATAAAACAGTCTTGAAAACTGCTGCTGAAATATGGTTTCAATCTAATCCTGACTTTGAAAGCTGCTACTTAGAAATTGGGTAAAATGGAGGTAATAATGCTTGCCTCCAACAATGGGGCTATTGTGAGAATAGATTGGTTAGTATATGTAAGTGCCTTGTACAATGGGGACCCAGACCTGCCTGAGACTTCTAAGTACTACTACAGTATAAATGTCTAATAAAAAGTGGTGTGCTTTGAAACACATACAGAGCTATGTAAGTGCTTAGCAGCAGTAATAGCATGTCTGTCATCTTTAGGTTGACCAGCGAGTGTTCAAGGATCTAATGAGTGAGAAACTGCCACGATTGCATGCTCACTTTGAACAATACAAACTTGACTACTCACTCATAACTTTCAACTGGTTTCTGGTGGTATTTGTGGACAGCGTGGTCAGTGACATCCTCTTTAAAATATGGGACTCTTTCCTATATGAGGGATCAAAGGTGAGTTGTATGAGCTAGATGTTTTTCAGTTCGTATCAGATGTTGTAACAAGACACTGTGGTGTTGAGAAATTCAAGGTGGGGGATGGTTGTATTTCACAAGAGTATGTTAGTTCTAAGAGCTGGTCAAAAAATGGAGTGAAGAGGAAATTTACAAAACAGCTTTTCCAGCCAACAAATTCTTCCATTTTAAGTCGAAATTTTGGGACTTGGAAATTTTCCACAACTTTCAATAAGCAGAATAAAACCAAGTATTTAGATAGTTCCCTTTCATAACACTTTAAATGCATCAAAGTCCTTTTTGAGAAATAAGCAGATATCTAACCAGTATTTCCTGGGTTACAAATATTCTAAAATAGAGGTGTAGGAAAGTGCAAGACTTGGCTGAGAATAGGGAGGTGGCATTTGTTTTCCTGTCACCCTACAGCAATTTTTTTAAATTTATTTCTGCAGACACCTATCTAGTGCTCAGGACACGTAACCCATTAATTAAAAATTGCAGCATTAAAAAGAAACAAACAGCTGCCTATAAATGTACCTCAGCAGAAACTCGCATATGAAATTGTAGCTGAATAAAACTGACAGTTTTATTTAAAAGGTTTTATTTTTCTCAGACACTTAGATACAACAGGAACACAGTACTTAAGCAAATAGGGGAAAGGGGAAGGAAAGTCGTGAGATGGGGGGGGGGGATAGGCAAGAGTAGTAAGTTCACTACCATAACTTTCTCTTAAGTGAACATTTCAGTTTACTGTGTGTGTGTGTGTGTGTGTGTGTGTGTAAAATAACTTTCAAAAGATCACAATACTGTGATAAGATATACCTGTACAGAGTTGCAAAGTGCTAGGCCTGCTGACCCCATTCCATCATAGAGAGAGTGTCTAGACTGTTGTAACTCCTACCAGTGACTGACTGAGCAGCTGTTGGCAAAAGTTGAATTGGCTTGCAGTTCCCTATAACATATATTCCCAAGTGTTCAAATACCCCACAAGACAAGATTATGAGGTCCCAGGCACTGAAAAGCCAATTACTTTTTTTAAATATGATGCAGAACATTTTTTTTATTTCAACTCTGAAACAGCTTTGGTGGTTTATTAGGCCATATTGTCTTTGCTTTACAGATTAGTTTTTTTAAGGCGCTCAGAAGCCTTTGGGCATTAGTTTTGATGGTGCTCAAATTATTATTGTACCTGGGAAAAAATGTTTGAACATCACAAACGGAGCTGTTTCCCCTACAGAAAGCTGCTATTATGCTAAACCGCACACACTAATGCAGGAAGACTGCAATATTTCTAAAAATCAGTTTTATTATAAAAGTGTATTCAGAATGTAATGTGTGTGTATCTATAAATCTTTTTTTTGAATATCCAGGTCATTTTCCGGTTTGCCCTGGCTCTTTTTAAATACAAAGAAGAGGAGATCTTAAAACTGCAAGATTCAATGTCCATATTCAAGTACCTTCGATATTTCACTCGCACCATTCTTGATGCTAGGTAAGTACTTTAAAAACCTATTTAATATCAACAATATTTTGTGTTGGGGCACAAATGAGACATTTCACCTAGATGAATGACATCTGTTCAGAAGAATATCTAGTGAGATTTCTAGTCACTGGTTTAATTTTTTTCTATCCTCTTCCTTAAAATGTGTATCTGAAAGACTCCCCCATTCAGAATACAAAAGCAAAAAAAGAGCTGCTGATAAAATGATAAAAGCATCATCTTCTAAGCAATTCGGCAATTTAACCCCATATTACTATATTTACTATGTAGTGTTGCCATTTACTCTTATTGATATTTGTATTGCAGTAGCACTTAGAGCCCCATTGTGTTAGGTGCTATAGAAACATACATAAAGATAGTCCCTGTCCTTACTTTATGCTTAGATTATAAATTGTTAAGAGATATGGACATGTCCTATTGAATCAAGATTATCTTGTGTGCTACTAATACATGTACATAGGCAAGCATTGGGTTGTAAGAAAATTTTATATTCTGACATGTGTGTGTTTGAGATGATGGGAACTAGACAGTGCTATAAGTGCTATTCTGTCCTTAATTCTTCTTTGCATAGGTAGTGCAGTTTATGTGCACTGTATTCAGCATAAACTAGCACCTAATGTTCTTAAATATTTGATACAGGGAGGGTGATAAGTTAAATAACATCAAACAAAAATTATTTTTCATAAAATAGCAGTTTGTTTGGATCAGAATTTGGCACAACAGTAATACACTTGAAACTTTTTAAACATTCTTGGCTGTTCTCTGATAACAGCTAAACTGAGGGGGCGGGTGGGGTATTATTTACTATAATAAATTGCATGTGAATTAGGGTTTAAAATCTGATTCCTGTTCAGAGCTCCCTGTATGGTTTGGGAGTTCTGAATGGAAGAAAAGACTAACTTGTCTGTATAGTCTCACCCAGTGCTTAAAGATGAATGTGAGGGGCTGACCCAGCGAAAATCTTCTGCACTTCCACATAAGAGAGGGAAGTTTGACTTTGGCTCCCCAGAATAAAGTGGCTCTGAGGGGATGGTACACAATGTTTTGTGTGCCTTAGCATTGACTCCCTCACCCCACCCCTTTGATGATGATTTAAGGAATGATTGCAGAGAGTTGTGTTTAGTTCTTGACCAAAGGAAAATGATGATCATGACTCCCAACCTACAAGTGGAGAAAAGTGTGTGTGGGTTTGGGGAGGTGGGTGGAAATGTTTTTAAACACACAAAGCAACAGAAAGATAAATAGTGCTTACTAAATCTGAGCCTTTGGAGTATTCCAAGAATTTTTAACTTATAATCTCCTTTGAATTAAAATGACTTCCCACAACAACACTGCCAGAAACTGATGTGTGCAGACTGAATTGTTGTCTCTCCCTAATTTCAACAGCGGTACTTTTTTCTTTGAGATAATGTCAATCATGAGGCTTACAAGACTTGTAAAGCTGGACCTTCTTTTTTATAAATGTGTCTAACACCTAGTGATGGAATTCAATATTGATTTTTAAAATTTGGGTTACTGCAGCTCCCACAGAAACCTTTTTGTATTACCGAGGCATGTTTACTAAACCAGGTTGGCTTAAGTCTGTAAAATTTGGGTCCCCAACTATTTACTTTTTAAAAATGATAGGCACATGGTGTACAAAAGCTTCGTAATACATACAAACTGCGTTCTGTTTTTTAAATCCCATTCTGTATTTGACTTTTAAATTGACACTTGTATGAAAATATTTTATAGTAGTATAGTGCCACCTCGTGGATTTAAGCTGAATTGATTAATTTAAAAATCAATCTTTGTAAAGTAGGCTATATGATTCATGCCCTTCTAGCCTCTCAAGGTCACCATTTTACAAACAATTTACTTATAAAAAATATTTTTGAACTTGTAAAGCTAAGTGATTAAAAAAAATGTTTAAAATGACTGTTACAGATGTGAGTCCAGTCTTGTGGAAAAACACACATCATCCTATTCATAGTACAGGAAAGATAGACATTCAGTTATGTGATTCCTAGACATTTTCCAGAGGCTGGAATAATTAATTGGCACTAACACATTTCTGAAGTTTAAGCTGCCTAATTGGAAAAGTCCCGACTAATATGTGCATTGGTGCAACTTCAGAATAATGTACAGGGAAATAAGAATTGTACACCTCTACCCTGATATAACGCGACCCGATATAACATGAATTCAGTTATAATGCAGTAAAGCAGCGCTCCCGGGGGGGGGCAGGGCTGCACGCTCCGGCGGATCAAAGCAAGTTCGATATAACGCGGTATAGATTTTTTGGCTCCCGAGGACAGCGTTATGTCGGGGTAGAGGTGTATATCTAATTTTCTCATTATGATAAAAATTGTACCTCAGATGACCTGTTTTAGAGTATATATTTAGTGAGAGGTTATTGATGTTTGTGTGCATAGAAACAAGGAAATTATTGTTTCAACCTGTAAGACCTCTGAGTCTTATACAATATGAATGTAGGAAAATCCCAGCCTTTCAATCTGTAAACTGCAGACCATCTTAAGAGAAGCTAACAAATTGATCCCAATTGTTATTGAAATTAATCAGGTGCTCGAATGAGCTATTAAGGGGAAAAAGAGAACTTCAGATATAATAATTAAAGATCTGTTTTATCACAGTTGCAGATCAGCAATATTGCTTATTCTCCTACAAGGATAGGCTAAATAGAATTATAGTATTTTTTTTTTAATAAGGAAACTGATGCAGTACTTTCTGGAGCCATGAAATGCAGAATGCGACTACTGTTGTAGCCCATTTATTTTGAAAGTGCAGTGCATTTGGACTTGTACAGTAACCTAATGTCAGATTTCTCAGGGCAATAGTATTGAATTAATTTCAGCAGAACTAAAGCAGAAGATCTGAAAGAAGGAATATTTAGGAAGTAAATATTCAGTAACCATCCTGGTTGATGAAATTCTTGTTAATCAAAGCTTGGTTACACCTGCTCACAATGTTTCAATGTCCATAAAACCATAGTACAGTATAGACTTGGCAGCTGCTTCTGCGGTCTGGCCAGCATTTAAGGGGACATTCTGTAACTAAAGTGGTCATTTTAAAACTGCTTCTTTTCCAAAGCTACCTTGAAATGTCAACATTTCATCTAAGACACACCAGGTACATGGGGAGGGCTATGCCAGAGATTCATTTCACATCACATATAAAGTACTAAAGTGAATGAAGCTTAAAATTGCCATTAAAAGCCATAGATCCAGTGGTGATCATCTAATGCTAGGTAATCTTTCAGGAAACTGATCAACATTGCTTTTGGAGATCTGAATCCTTTCCCGCTGCGTCAGATCAGGAACCGGAGGACCTACCACCTGGAGAAAGTGCGCTTGGAGCTAACTGAACTTGAAGCCATTCGTGAGGACTTCCTGCGTGAACGGGAGACCAGCCTAGACAAAAGGGACCTTATCAGTGATGACGAAGAAGATAGTTGAGAGAATTCATTGACTTACACTCTCTTTTGGAATCGTGACCAAAGCTTATTGAGTGGGTTAACTTCAAATACACTTCTATTTTATTAATCCTTTAAAACTGAATGTTAAATAGTGGCATTTGGAAATATGCAGGACAGATTTCCAAACCTCAGCACTTTCTTTCAAAAATATTGTTTTGTATCGGAGGTCAAACAGTTCTGTTTACACCTGTGTTCATGCAACTGTATAGAGCACTTAAAAATTAATATCTCTTTCAATCAGTTAAACAGCTGAGCTACCAGTTGTTCTTCTGAAGTGCCTCATCAGTGTCTGTATGTGAAGTAGTAGCATAGAAAAGTCCTTGCTCTTTTAATCTACCATTTTGTCTCCTTTCTGAACTTGTATATTATACTGAACATAGTTATACATTTTTATAGCACAGCCCCACAACATGAAAAGACATCATTTTTCAGTTTCAGGCAGATGCACAAAACTGGCTTTCATAGTATTGTCATGAATAAATCAGCCATTATTTGTGTTACAGCTGAGAGGATATGGAATGGAACACAGCAAGAGCTTTCATGTTGCTCTGTTTCTTTAAAGGCAGCATGAAAATGGGATAGCTAAAAAGAATGTGTGTGTGTGTGTGTATATATACTTAAAATAGAAAACAAATAATCATTTAAGCTTTCAGACTACTTTAATTACAGTGCAAAACATAACAGTTGTATTTATTTTGAACAGCTGTTTTATTCAGATTCCCTTAATGCAGAGGAAAATGTCCACCAAGTTCTGTTATTTAATCTTTTTGTTTTTCTTCTGGCCACAACTTCTCAAAAAATGACAAGCAGCTCTTAAGGAGGATGGAGTTCACCACAGGAGTCCCACAAACATCTAGCAGATATTCTGTTGCTTATGTTGTAAAGTTTGTTTTTTATGAAGTCCTATTCTTCTCCCAGTTTGGGGTCTAAACTAGGATGATGTTTGGATTTTAGAAAAGCACCCAAGGGAACAACTTTTTTCATGAATATAATCTATATATTGCAATGTTTACATTACAGTATTCTTAGAAAGGAAAACAAATGTTTAGCCATTCATCAGAGAAGCCTAAAGGCCACAGAGCCTGTGAAGAAGTTGGTTAAAATTCTTTTTTTGTGGAAATAAACCATATAACACACTTCCAGAAACATGCTGCTGTGAATGCTGTATGCATATGTATCCACGAGAGAGCTCAGGAAATAGACCATGTTATTCACTTACCATTGTCTCTGACATTGTTACTATGAAAAGCTTGTTGGATACCACTGTTATTTCACTTTGTGATGTATGCTGTTAGAGGACCTGATGGATTTTTCTTACTTTGTTCTCGTTCTGTTTAGATTTGTTTATAATCTTCTTTCCCAAGCTTTTCAATCATCAGAATGTCCGTTTGATCTAAACGTTACCTTTTTGAGAGCAACAGAAAACAAGAATTCAAACAAAAGTCATTAAATATCTCTCTCTCTCAAAGGTGTTTTCCTTTCCTTGGCAATAAAGCAGTGAGAATTGCAGTAGCAGTTTAAAGTGTCAACTTTCAATAACCTTCCATTCAGCTGTTAGATGGTATATTTATTTAGAATTGGATAGGACTCTTCTATTTCAGTCCTATTCATGTAAAAAAGGTTAGAAGGTTGTGGGGAGGAGAGGGGTGGTGTTTCACAACTTTTTTTTTCCTGTTGGCTTAACTGAAACTTGGTTAAAGATATTTTGCTTTTCAATAAACATTTCCTTTATAAAGAAATTGTCCAATGTTAAGCCTAAACAGAATAAGATCAACGCATATCATGTAACTTGAAAATCTTAGTTAGATGTATATTGAAAGACATGTTTGTTTGTTTAACTAGCAAAACATGTAAGTTCAAATATGCAACAAGCCCTTATGCTTATTAGAGAAACCTGGAATGAGCCATAGAATTATTTCAGTTGTGTTTTAAAACATTTCTAGCATGCATAGTACAAGCAGTAAATTTCTTACTTGCATCTCTTACCTTATACTTGAATTTACTAGGCAAGTTTTTCATATTATTGCATGTTCTGTATTCCTGTTACTTACTACTACAATGAGTATTTGAATATACAAATCAGACCAACTTTTTAAATGTTCTGATTGTTTGCTGTCAGTGTCTTGGAGGAGCTGGTCTCTAACCAGATCTGTGTCTCTTCTTTTAAAAAGAAAATTGTTTTCAAGCGTTAAATGAAATCCGTCCATTTTTGTAAACTTGTTTAAGTTCTTCCTTAGTATAGCAACATTGAAAATACTAGGTTGGAACATTTTGCTAGCCTACCATTTGTGGAGATCTTGCTATTTTGAGCCTTAATTACAGACCAGTTTAGTGACGTTATAAACGTTTTCAAACTGAATGCACAAAAGCCCTCAGGTGATGAAGACTTTTGAACCGCTGTTCAGGACGTTCCCCATAGCTGACAAGTGTATGGAGGAGTAGAGTTGACTTGCAATGTTGGAGGCCCATTCCTTGTAAGAAATGATGTTGCTGATGGTTAATTTCTTGTGTTCCTGCGGTTCATATTAAATGTTATTACGGGAGTGTAAAATTGAATGACTGTTTACTGTTTTGAACTGCAAGTATGTAAAATCTGATACACAGATACCATTTGTTCAAATTGTTTTGTTGGGCACCATATGTGAAATTAGTTGATGGCTTCAGTCACGTTCCCCGTAGCCTGGTGCTTACATCTCGGTTGGCATCCTTGCTGCTGTCTTGGGCAGAAGGACTAAACATTTAAATGGGCAATAAAGACTGAACTGCACTCTTATCCCTAGAAATCCCTATAGAACAGGAGTGAGGTGCAAATAGTAGGAGGCAGTGGGAGGGGAAGCTTGCTTTGCTATTGTCCATCCTGCTCTGTGGGCAAATAAAGGATTTTGAGTGCTGCTTAATCTGGCAGCTTTCAAGAGCACTAATGTTCACCTTTTTAAATGAACATGCAAGGTTACACACATTCAGTATCTTCACCAGGTGACACCAGACAAATACAGAGCAACCTGCAAAACTGGAATGTGTCAACAAATAATGTTAACATTTAGGGCCAACTTTCAAAACAATGCATGAGGATTTAAGTGTGCATCCCTGCCATTGTTTTGGAAATGAACCCCTTAATGAAAATAATACAGATCAGCTTAAAATTGGTGACCAAACGTCTTTTTGTATGTTTAACATCTTGTTTAGTGCTTTCATATCTCTTCACTACAACACTTTTACAGACTTTAAAAAATAAATAATTTCAAGGTTATGTACATATGTGCAAAATATTTGTTATGCATGGCTCACATTTTATGTGACCAAACCACTAAACTAAAATCCTGCAGACTATTCTTCCCTCACCTATTATGCATGATTCAAAATACAAAGTAGCTTTCCAATTACTTATAAAAAATGTTATCTTCTATTACATTATACAGAGAAATATGGTGCACTATACATCTTAGCTATTATTAATACTGCACAGTATTCCAGTTTCACCTATGCCTACAGTATTATAATCCATTATTATTGGATAGTTTCTTTTACCAGTTAAAAGTATATGTGTAGTTAAGTAGACAGAATTTGCTTTTTCATTGTTCTTCTGTAGATGTACAGGTATGTACACATAGTAGGGTGTCTGAGCAATAAGAATAGGATTTTGTGGTTTGAAAAAGCTAGAGTAAGAGCATTCTTTAATTTGACATTTAAGTCATGTTCACATCCATGCTAGTTTGTTCTGTTAAACTATTGAGAAATGAAACTCGTCACTTTTCCACTCTGGAGCTATATACAGATGTTTAAATAAAACTTAAGTACCATATTTCATAAACAAAATCAATGGTGTATGGTATAATAAATCACTTTCAATCGCAAAACTTAACTGATCTTGTTTTGCTAAAGATTGTTGTAAGATTGAAAGAAAAATAAACCATTTATTACTTTGCATTATAATTTGGCTTGAGTTATTTTTAACAGACGTACGTGCTGGAGCCATTAAAACATCTAGAAGAGGAATACATTTTGACACTAGTTCCTTTAAAAGTCAGATCACCAATTTTGAGTTCTAGTGGAATGCTCTTGTCTAGGGATGGAGCAAGTATTGTCTGATTGCAATTGTTCTGGAATGAAGGAAAAGAAAGCAAACAGAACAAGGGAATGAGAGTGAGAATCATATTACAGGAATTCTCTTTAATGAAATTTCTTTTGGCTGAATTAATCAAAACAACTGGCATTTGATGCAATTTTGAAGGCTGTCCACCTATCCCAGAAGTACAGGAGGCACTTGATATGGCTTAATTAGGCCACAACTTTATTCTTAACGGTCTGGGAGTACCCAGCAGATAAGTGTACAGTGAAAGTAATTCCATTATTGTCCACGGAGTGAGGGATTCCGTCAGCCCTCTCCTTAACCTGTCCTGGACCCCTGCCAACCTGCTGCTGGGACCTCACCATCCCCTCCCTTGAATGAGAGTTGGGGGGAGTTATAAAGGAGGAGGGGTTGGCTTCCTGCCGTGCCAGTCATAGGAGTCCCAAACCCCTCGTTTCTGTTCCTTTAATGAATACTTCCTTTAAATCCTTTATCAATCCATTTTATCTGAGCGCTGTATCCCTTCCCTATGCAGTACCTGCACAGGACATCTGCCCCACCTTTACATAATAGGTTGTGATGTCACAACCCATCTCCCATTTAATGTTTGCTCCAACTAAGCTCCCCTGAATACTCTCTAGGGAAGGTGACATAACCCCCGCTTTTCCTTGGCCAATCTGGCGGTGAGGGAAAAATTCCTTCCCAGCCTCCTTGAGAAAGGAGCAACTAGTGTAATGCTCATAGCACATCATGACAACCTGGTATTTCACCACTTCCATGGGTGGGATGGTGGATGCTGTTCTGGCTGGCCCAGGTAAAAGAGGGCTTTTCCTACCCAGCATGGACCTATATAGTACCCCCTCTCTTCCAGTCACCTGGTGGGGAGGGATGCTGACCTGCTCTGTGGCTGCTGTAAAAATCACTCCATGCCTCTCTAACCCTTTAAAGAGGTACACACCTTCCTCTGATAAGTCCAACAACGACCTCCCCTGCTTAATGTGCAGTACGGTTCTATATCTAGAATATTACACACAAGCTTTGCACTTCTAGCACATAATGGTTTGGTTTTTGTATTTACTAATTCAGCAAAGCACTTAAGCATGTGCTATGCTTTAAACATCTGTTTAAAACTCCTTGCTGAATCAGGGCCTTAGCCAGTGGCCTGCGCTTTCTAGGGGTAAATTCATGCACACTTCTCCCCCTCCCCCCCAAAAAAGTCTTGTAATGGATGAGATTCTTAACATGAAACTTTTTATTTAAGGTAGGTGCCTTATTTAAGATAGTACCATCTTGTTCATTTTTCCTAGCTGTGCGAGGTCACTATCTAATTTTTCTCTGTCTCTTCTGATTATGGTTGGAATTCAAATGATATATAACACTAGATGTCTCCATCAAGTTGTGAGTTTGGTTCATAATAAATAAAAGCCACTCTTGAGCCCTAGGCGCAGACTCCATGGGTGCTCCGGGCTGGAGCACCCATGGGGAAAAAATTGGTGGGTGCTCTGCACCCACCAGTAGCTCCCTGCCCCGCCCTCTCGCCCCAGCTCACCTCTGCCTTCGCTCTGCCTCCTCCTCTGAGTGCACTCCCATGTCCTGCTTCTCCCCCCCTCCCTCCCAGCACTTGCGCTGCGAAACAGCTGTTTTGCGCAGCAAGCCTGGGAGGGAGGAAGGAGGAGGGAGAACGCAGCGCACTTGGGGGAGGAGGCGGGCCGGGGCGGGGATTTGGGGAGGGGTCCAATAGGGGCACAGAGGGGCGGAGTTAGGACAGGGATGTTGGGGCAGGGGTGGAGTCAGGGCGGGGCTCGGGGGGCGCGAGCACCCACCGGCGCAGAAAAAAATTGGCGCCTGTGTCTTGAGCTCTTCTTTTTTCAGTGAAAGAACAGAGGGGACAGAATGACTTTTGTGGCATTCAGTCATATTGTTTTTCTCAACTTGTCAGTCATACACAATCAACATTCAACTCTGATTTTGGCTTTAGATGGCATTTTATAAATTGTGCAGTGTCTGACCATCCATTCCTGATCATAGGAACATGACCTTTTCTAACAGTAGTGCCTCTGCACCCTTTTAAAAATAACACACATACATAAAATGGTAATCGACCTTCCTAAATCAGCATTGGCTAATTAATAAGCTCACACTTATTGAGTTTTGCTGTGCAAACTTCTTGCCTTAAGAACTGAGGATGTGGGGAAGGGTTCTGTCAGCCAAGAAGGTGACAAACCTCAATGCAACACTAAAGTCTGAAGCCTAGATAGACTTCAAACATTCAATGTGATGTGATTATCATTCACATGCACCTGTACGCATAATAGGTACTAGTCATTCAAAGGCATGTTTATATTGTAGACTGAATATGTATTTTCATGCCTGAGCATGCATGTACTAGTACAATACGTTCAATGTTTAAGACACGTGAGTGTCTTCTGTCCTTGACCAACTTTCAAGGCTTTTAGCTTCCTCCCCAAATTATGTTTTGGAGCTAGTTTACAGTTACACTGATGGGAGGCTTTAAAGCTGCATAAACATCTTAAACCAATCTACAGCCTTAAATTAGTTTTATAAACTTAAATCTATAAGACCTGCAAAGTATGTGTGTGAGGAGGGTTTTTGCCCAAACAGCTATTTTTTTCTGTTGACCTGTCTGCAGTAAGCATGGTTAGACCTCGCTCTCTCTCTCTCTCTCTCTCTTTTCACTTTCCCTTAAGTTTAAAATGGCTACAGGGCTTTTGCTCAAGCTTCCCAGAAAAATTCATCTTCAGGCAGAGTCTGAGCTTGAAAAACATCTACCTGAAGTTGGAACTGTTTTGCAACCAACAGCTATAGGGGATGTGATTCATCCAGGGGGCAGAAGGGAAAGAAGAGAATTTTATTCTGCAGTAATCTAATTTTCCTTGAATAATGCAGCCATTCTGTGTTTCTTACACTGATTGTAAGGTAAGATAGTTTGGAACTGAAAAATTCAGTTTTTAAAGTCTGGTTTTTGTGCATGATGCAGTGGGGTATGGAAAAGTTTCTATAGAAAAACAAACATGCAAATTTGGATTTGAACTTGGAAGATCCAAACTGCAATGTGTATGTTAGACCAGATTTTTCAAAAATATTGAGGTGTCTGTGGGATTTTCAACATCCCTAAGCAGGTCAGGCACCTAACTACTACCATAATCTCAATGGGAGTTAAGAACCTAACCTGTGTAGGGGGCTTTGAAAATCCCATAGATACCTAAATACCTTTGAAAATCTGACCCTAACTGTCATTGAAATGTGCGCTAGATAGCTGCCTAATCTACTTAAGTGGTTTTGAAAATACTACTAGTTTCCTAAATAAGTTTGGAAAATCTGTCCCTAAGCCCCCTTTAAAAAAATAATTAGTAGTCTAAGTCTCATTGATTTTTAATGAGATTTAAATTCTGAAACGCCTATGTCACTTTGAAAATTGGACTTAGGAGCCTAAAGTCACTCAGCAGTTTTGAAAATATTATCCTTTGCTAGTGCTGTTCCCTTCAACAGTGTTATGCAACCAGTTAGCTGTATGCCTAGCATGATCACTTTATTTCATAGTGACATAATAGCACATATCACTGGTAGTTGATAGGACATTAGCTTTGTCAGAGCACAGCAGGCTCTTAAGGTGTGGGATCTCATTCAACTGGGAAATCTATGCTAATCACAAAACAGGGCAAAGGATAAAGAAGAGCATCTGAGACAGAAGATGGCTGCAGGTGGCCTAAGGACTTTCTATCTTGTGTGCTGAAGATGGTAATCTGAAGGGATAAGGAATAACCAGCTCTGGCATTCAGATGCATCAGTAAAGTATACAGAGGTGATGTCCTGACTCAGGACAAACATTTTTCTGAATTTTGTTTTTGTTTTTGTTTAGTTGAAAAGCCATTTTTAAAAATTAAAAAAAATTAATATTTGTATTGCAGTAGCACCTCTGAGCCCCTGTGTTGGGCTAGGATCGCATTGTGCTAGGCATTGTACAGACAAAATTTTTATATGAAAAAATTTTGACTGGCTTTACAGCTTTGGTTTAAAAGAGTTGGAAAGAAGAGGAAGTAAAACAGCCAGGAAAAACCCTCTACCAAAAGAACGTACAAGAAGAGTGGACACAGATGAGCATTAGTGTCGTGAGAGCTAATGAATGCAGCATCAGAATTTTGGGGATGTTACATTAGGAAAGTCTGGAGGATACAACCTGTGTTCTGAAAACATCCCGGGTTAGTGTGTTACTGAATTTTCATGTTGAAAAGTTGAGTCTTTTTAGATTTAATAGGCAGCCAGAGTTGTCATTAAAGCACTGCAATTCTTAAACAATAAGGAGCCATGTAGGCCAGTTCAGTTAAAAAACAAAACTGCAGTTTGATGCTCATGTTTACTTATGCAAATACTTTGCCTTGAAGCTCTTATCATGAACATGTCTAACAAATGGGCAAGGCAAATATGATTTTCACTAGTATTTGAGCATATGTGAGAAATAATTGTACCCTTAATAGAAATTATTTTTATATGATCTTATCCATATGCCCACTGTTGTTATGCACTTTTGTCTAAAAATTGTAGGTAACCCAGACCTCTGGAGTGGCACAAACCATCCATAGTTAGCCTGAGGATCTGCCCCAGTGTCTTGGGTGAAAGGGAAGAGTCACTTCTAACTGGAGAAGAGCAGAAGACACTGTGAAGTCCACTGGGGACCTCGTTATACCAATCTCATTTACCAGGATTTCACCCCTAGGGTGGGATTTTCTAATCTAAAGCATTTAGCATTGTTCTAACTCTGCTCCCACTTGACTTCAGTGCTTTAGAAAATCCCACCCCTTAAGGTTGGGTGGGCTATCAAACTAGACTTTCAATAAAAAAA